CAGAGACAGAGAGACAGAGACAGAGAGACAGAGACAGAGACAGAGACAGAGAGACAGAGAGACAGAGAGACAGAGAGACAGAGAGACTGATTCTCATTCTACATCTGCTATCATTATGCATTGTGATGCTCTATCCTGGTAATATTTTGTCTTTTTGTTAGGAAAAGCTCCTCACTTCCTGAGGCTGCAAAATGTGGAGGTTAATGTTGGGCAGAATGCAACATTCCAGTGCATTGCAGGAGGAAAGTGGTCTCAGCATGACAAATTGTGGCTACAGGTAAATGCACAATGGATCCTTTATGTTCTTTAGAATTTTTAAACCATATTTCTCAACTATGAACAAATAGATATTCTGAATCCAGTGGAAAATTTCTGTGTAATACTTTCATCATTTCCCTTTGGGTAAGAGAACATTCTGAAACACATAAAATGCTGTTTAAATTGATGGCCCGGAAAATTATTTAGCTGAGTATGCTTAATGTCTTGAGCAGCTAAATGTTTAACTTTATAGGGAATATTATATAGCATTTATTTACTATATTTCTTCTTTACTTACTTATATATTTTTATTGCATAAATGTACCAAATGTTTATGATTTTTCCCATTGGAAAAATCAGAATTAGCAGAATTAGAGATCTGATTTTGAGGCTGTAATGAAAAAGAAACAAGGAAGGCACTGAAAGCTGATCTTTCAAAAGAATGGGATGAGATCAATGTGAGGAAATTTCAGGATGCCTTACTTTATTTCTACTTCACATCTTTTTAATTGCTTCTACATTTTATTTGCATGTCTAATTTATTTCAGCCATACTACTTTATTAATCTACATTCTGATCCTAATCATTCTCAATCACACCTTTTCTCATAAGTTGTAAAGTAGCTCAAATCTCAGCTACTGCTTTCATAAGGATGTCTGTGCTTTTTACTACTACCGTACAGTTTAGAACTGCCAGATTTACTCCAAAGAACTGACTGTATTGTTTCAGCTAAATAAATTGCCTCTGATAAGCAGTCTCTAAGCCCAGCACAAATATACCCTGCCAATCATCTGTGTTATCTGTTTGTCCTTGAGAGCAACAACATATATATACGGTTTTTTTTAATTCACAGCTAGCATCTATGTTGAAAAATAAAACAAAATAAATAAGAGGTTTTTTTAAAAAAAAATAGATGGTTGTTACAATTCTTTCATCAGGAGTCAATGCAAGGCCATGGTACATGTTGAAGCAAAATTCAGTGGAGTATATGGCTGGATTGTGCAGCCTGCATACTTTTATTATATCCAATAAGTTTTTGATCTTGGCGTAATATCTACAAAAGGGAAGCATGAGTCACTTTATACTGTTAGGAAGAAAATGAAATCATATATCTTACCCACTAGGTGACCTTTGAATCCCCATAAATGACACACATTTCAGAATCTTACATTTCTACAAATCCAACCTTTTCTTATTGATAGCTTTTATAATGGAACAATGCTGTGCTGCAATCTATTATCAGCCTGACTCAATCCACTTCAGGATAAAGGCATTGAAATTTATAAACCATAATCTACCAGGCTAAACCAGTTTAGGTTAGTGGTTGTTTTGATTTTCTTCTCTAAGACTGAGAGAGGAAGTGACTGACCCAAAATCACGCAACTTGCTTCTGTTCCTAAGAAACAACTACTCATGGAGTTGATAGGTAGTAAAATATATAGTAACTACTGTTCTTGAACTAAACTGAAATTGAATTTTAGTAATACATATCAAGTTTAAAGGATTCATTTGGGAGAAAAAAAATGTCATGTTTTTGTAAGAATTTCAGAAAAGGAAATTAACATGAGTTAGGAATACTCTTTTCATGAACATGTTATACTTACATAGATCTTTCTCCCTCTCTTTGTGTGACAGCAGTGGAATGGAAGAGACACAGCATTAATGGTTACCAGAGTTGTCAACCATAGGCGTTTTTCTGCTACTGTCAGTGTAGCTGATACATCCCAACGCAGTATCAGTAAATATCGCTGTGTAATCCGTTCTGATGGTGGATCGGGAGTTTCAAACTACGCAGAATTAATAGTGAAAGGTAAGTGATGAATAATTAAAAATGTGAATTTGTGGGAGTTTATACCTGCCCCAAATAGAATGTCATCTGAAGTACAAAAGAATGTCTGTAATCAACCAAAGATTTTAACCATTTGAAAATGTTAGTTCTATTTTTATCCATGATTATAGTCACTTGACAAGAAGAAGAATAAAGCAGTAAAGATTATTAATACAATTACAATTATTTACAATTATTAATGTGTTGAATACTAATAATATATCATTAACTTTATTACCTTACTAAATGAAAAACTTATTTTAGGAAATTCAACTATAGTAAAAAAAAAAATTAAATTCAAATTTGAAAATGCTGTTTTTCTTTTTAAAAACTCTGTGATATTTTAATAACATAAATTTAAGTTTCACTTTTATGATGTTGTTTGTAACAAGGATTTAAAAAATCCTCAAACAATTTTGAGAATTCCTAACACATGTTGCATTCATAAAGTTTTCATGAGCCATGTTTTATGAAATATATTTCTGTGACAGATGTATTATATATCACACAACTTTTCTATTCACATAGCTACTCTTCTCAACTAAAAATTGGTAAATCTATTGCAAAATTCATTCCTGTTTTTAGAATTTCTGTCAGAATTGTACTGTCTGAGGCAGCCACAAATGAATGTGGAGGTTGTGTTAAATGGTATTCTGGAATTTGAATTCAGTGCAATACCAGTTCAGGATTAAAATATACAAAATTCTTAAGAATTACCAGATTCTATTTATCAGAGGTGAGTTGCTCCCGGTTCGGCCCAGTTCAGCCAAACAGGTAGTAGTGATTCGGCCTGGATTACAGAACAGGCAGCGAGCCAGGTTGGCCACGCTCCCAAACCAGTTCCCTGGTCTCTTCTGCCATTGCCAGCATGTTTCTGCACATGCACAGAACAAGTTACTGTCAACTGTGCATGCATGGGCAATGTGTAGTGTGCGTGTGCACAAAGCGAACCCACCCCTGCTACTCATGCTGTAAAAAAAATGGAATTCCCTACTCAGCTTGGATTAGAAATCTCATTCTTACTCTTGGGTTTTGGAGTGGAGGATGGGGAGAAAATAATTCTAATATTGTAACTTCCTTTATCTTGCCTGAAAAAACAAAACAGCACTGAATGTATTCTTAAATTCTAATACTTCATTCCTAAAATTAAGATCTTTATTCTAATATCATTGTTAATCCCATAATTTTTGTGAATGAATAATTATTCATGAACTATCCTTGGTTTTCAATTCTCTCCTCCTCCCAATTTATCAACTGCAATTTTTTAAACCATTTTTCTACAATTTATCCATTCTTCAAAAGGTTGGTGCAAATAATCCATTGCATTTTCATGTGAATTTCAAGTGTTTATGTATTCATTACTACAGGTTCCTTTTGTAAGTTATTTTCCAGAATAAATCATATTTTGGTTAGGTTCCATTAATATAGTTATTTTAGTTGCACAATTTCAAATCATTGTAAAATGTTTGCTTTGATATGGTTATGCATTCCAAGTATTCATATAATTTAGAACATTATAAATATATAAGGGTAATAATAACCATATACACACACTCTTAGACACATAAAGAAGACTGAAAGGATTCTACAGCTAAGCATATCATGTGATCATGTAAATCATGGTGGCACAGTAGTTAGAATGCAGTATTGCAGGCTAATTCTGCTGACTGCTAGGAGTTCGAATCTCACCGGTTCAAGGTTGACTCAACCTTCCATCCTTCCAAGGTTGATAAAATGGGACTCAGATTGTTGGGAGCAATATGCTTACTCTGTAATCTGCTTAGAGAGTGTTCTAAAATTCTATGAAGTGGTATATAAATCTAAGTGATATGGCTATTGCTATCACTTTTAAAGTAGATACTGTAAATTTAAAATTACTCAAAATCACTCATGGAGCATGTGTAAAAGAAGAAAAGCCAACTTTTCTTAAGGGCAAAAGAAATCCATAGTTGGGTAAATAAAACATAAATATTACAGTGGCTATTATATTGTAAATAAAGGTGTAAACATTGATAAGTGACATAAACAAGACACTGATGGATTCAGTGCTGGACATAAAGAGATGGTGAGATAATGAAGGTAACTTTCGGTTGTCAACTCCTATTTTCTTTTTTTGCTTCTCTTCAACTAATAAGATAAATGTATGACTGCTTCTTAGGAGGTTAACTGAACATGGTGCTGATGTCCTTTTGAAGTAAAATGGATCAGTCTTTCTCAAACATTTTGCATAATTTGGCCAGGATTTCCAGTAGCTAAAATGGAATCAGTTTGGAAAGCTTCATTCCCAGAATTATTTTTATTGAATTAGTGACAATGAGAACAATTAAGAACTTGTGAGTACCCCATCACTGAGGGCTTTTAAAAAGAGATTGGACAGCCATTTTTTTGAAATGGTACAGGACTTCTGCTTGATCAGGGGATTGGACTAAAAGACCTCTAACATCCCTTCCATCTCTGTTATTCTGTTCTGTTCTGGATTGGTTATGCAATTCAGTACCTGAATCGTAGCTCAGTTAACTAATTGCTAAGCCTAGATGAAGACAAACCTAAAATTTGGGTTTGAATTCAGAAATATATGTGGGATTTGAAGATGTGCCTTCTCTTCTGCCAGTCTGAGACAAAAATTCCATTTCAAATAGCATCCCAGAGGATAAATCTTATCTGACTGAGGGGGAAAAAAGTTAAGCAGGATGAATGTAGATATGAAAATATTGACAATTGCTCCAAATGTGAAGAATTGAAGCAGAAATAGATATATCACAAAATTTCTGAAAGGAGAAGAATATGCTGCCAGGTGAGGAACCAATAATAAAGGCAAAACAATTTCCCTGAAGGTTGCTATATGATTTTGTAATGATAAAAAAACAAAAAAGAGAAAAAGAGCACCAAACTGATTCAGTATCAGTGTTTGTGCACTCATGTTTACTACCTTAGATTAATGGAACAAATGTTTTTCATTGTGTAACTTTTACGTATAAAACTCTGAAATGTCCCATTCTGAGTGGAAGCCTGCTATTTTGGCATAAGATGGCCTGCCCTGAGCATTTTGCTACAAACAGAGTTGTGTTTTGAACCCACAAAGCAACGCAGAACCCACAAAGCAACAACAATTCCATGCTTAAATTGGTCAATTTTTAAAGTTTCCAACTCAGAATGTTTTGATAGGAAACATTTGCATACCTCTAATTAGAGAAATGTAAAGAAACAGGGTCAAATAATGTAAAAAGATGTCAAAGGACATATGTTTTTCACACTGGAATGAATTCATTCAAATCTTTGATAAATGCATGCATTTCATTGATTGGCTAATTTCATTTCAATTATCTATACACATAAATGTGTTTCATACATGCCTGCCTATCTATAATTTAGGAAAATTATATCATGGAATTAAAAAAGTAAAGTAGCACAATGAATATGTTCATTTGTATTATACATTTCAATTTCAATTTGTGTATTGTTCCTGTTTTTTTAATGGTTCTGAGCTGCCCAGAGTTATGTATGGGTGGCTGTAGAAATTGAATAAGTAAATAAAAATAAAAATATAAAAATAAATATATAAATAAATACAAGATCCAGACTATTATTGGGAAAGTCAAATGAAGGATTATATAATTTTGAAATACTTGATTGTGTAAGACCCCTCAGTTAATCTATATTTAGAAGCTGTAAAAATAGCAAAGATAAAGATGAGAGTTTTTATTTCAATTCCATTGTTCTTGGAATAGACACTTTTAAACCTCCACATTGTTACCCGTAGAAGTTGCTCCAATAAAAATCTCTCCTCTGTCTTCATTGGCCATATAAAGTACATGGCACAAAACATTGTTATAAACTTTGAGAAATTTCCTTGACCTAGCATTGATTTCGCAATAAAACCATGTCCTCCTCTCACTGCAAAGCTTGTTTTTTTTTTGGGGGGGGGGTGTCCATTTTCTTTGTTCTTACTTTGTAGGGTTCTGCACTAAAATGAATGAATAAAAGTTTAACTTTGCTCCTGTCATGTTAGTTACGTAAATATGAAGTAAAAATGATAATATATAAATATTTGAATTATGATCATTTATGACTACATTAAAAGGAATGGTTGAGTAAAAAATATCACAGAAAAAATTCAGGTTTACTAATCCCAGCAGTTCTGATAATTATTGCATGTTTAATATCACTTCTTAAAATATATTCCTGTCAGAAATGTTATTCAAATTGTATTTTATTTAAATACATTTTATTCAAACTTGGGATTCCCTGAATGTTTCAAATGTTATTCAAACCTATTATTTCATTAGCTGAATTTGAAATGGTGCAAATTTTACCAAAATGAAAAGTTGATGCTGAATGAAAAAGATTTTCTGATTCTCCATATTATCAGCTGGGATGGATTAAAATTTAATATGTTACTACAGCCCAACTAAATAATAACACTTTTTTCCCCTTGGGGTAGACAGTTATCACATTGAACTGATAAACATTCAGCAAATGAAATATAAATGTATTGTATAACAAATTGAACTTGGTTGATGTGCTACATAATGAAGTACCTTCATTCCATCTTGTATGCTATGGGGATGTAATGTATGTGTTTCTGTGTCAGCTCTGTACAAACTGTCCATAACTGCTAGATTATTCCTAACATTATTCACATAGTTAAGAAAGGCATTTTTGCTATTTTTTGACTGAATAGGGGATGGAGAGGAACTACATCATTTTCCCCTGCTCTGATTCTGTCATGATAAAAATATGGTATAAACAGAGCTGGCTCTGCCCTTGAACAAGAGAATTTTTAGAAGGGGCAGATCATATTTTTAACTTGCTCATTCACATCAATTTTTATCATGTTCTATTCTGGAGGATTAAGGAATGTGATAAAATGGAAATAACCTATTATTGCTGATTATCAAATATTGGCATGGCTCTGTTGTATGCATGCCAGTGTATCTCTGTATAAGTGAGGATAAATAAATGGGGAAAAAAATGAACTTGGA